AAGTTTGTTTAATTCAGCATAAATACTTTGATTGCATTTGCGAGATCGTGCCAGTTCGCCTTAGCCACCCTCAAATTATTCCATAAAATGTGAACTGGAAGCTAGCCATTAATCACGATACCAAAATCTTAAATACACTGCGAGTCAGTGGTCCATTTGTCATGCAAAGTTAACGTAGATCTTAATTTGTCAATGTTTGCACAGATCTTTCATATGGAAAATTTTCCTAACTGTGTACGAAAAAGGGTGTGACATCGCGTACCCCCATTTGCTATTTGGCAGGTGAGGGCTCTATTTATGGCGTCTTTGATGATGGCTCTGCAAAGGCAGTGTGTGAGCCTCTTCTTGAACAAACTGTTGGATAGTCCATTACATAGAGCATCGTCACATCGCCAGCTCACTTGCCACTGTCCCATACTATTCTTACTACCATCTTACATTTCTATAACGATTCGCCCTGATTGGACACTTGAGAATCCATCGCACTGATACTGGCACACGAGTGTCCGAAGTTCCATTACACATCGGTTGCATCTGCTCCATGAACACATAATGTCCAAGGACCTTCCACCATAGCATGGGCCTATTCGGCCATATGCGTCTTCGTGAAAAATTGCAGTAAAACACTACAGAACTTACCCCACCACCGTCATTGAGAGCTCGACCGTCGTTGTGACCGATGTCAGCTATGTGCTCCACAGCAGCATGAGAGCAGGGACAGTGACCTCGCGTGATTTAATTTATGATGAGTGTAGGCATGCGATGCATCTACGGCACTCTCCCATCCTCTGTAACTTTGATTCGGTGACAAGACAGAGCAAAGAAGATAGGAGACGGGAAAGGACGCAGGAAGGAAGGAAGGAAGACCGCACCTATGCGTACCACCACACCCCTCGATCCACAACATACATGAGCCAGGATTTAAAATCATAGCACAGATCCCAATATCCACATGGACGTGTTACCAAACCCAAATTTTGGCATTTGATATGACTGCGCATTCCCGACAACGCGCCGCCGGAGTCCATCACCACCACTAGCTCATGCACCACGCAGCAACCCGCCTAACAATACCCGACACACCGATAGGACGTACCTCACTTACTTGACTGAGGAACATGTCTTTTAGCGCGACTTGATGCCTGACCAGGTCGTGTTCGACACACGTGGACGGGCTGTTTCTGCATCGTCAACCACTGCGTCCAATCCCAGCACCGGACAGCTGCTCGGTCAAGAGGAAGACTAAGACCGACTTTGGGAACTCAACCCCAGGACACATAAAGGATTCCCTCACTATAACGGACCTGACGCACTTTGAAACTATCCTGTCGCGTCAAAAGTCATGCCTTGTAAGGCTGCCATTTGACTGGGCAACACTGCCCTCGCGGTCAGTAGTGTATGCGGGGTGATTGGGGAGTCACACTCAATATCTCCTCTTCAATAGGGTCCCCAGTGCAGTATCACATACGTGAACTGTGAGCCACCCTCTATTTTAAGAAACTGTGGTGTCGTGCGCAGAGGGATCGGGTCGTGTGGGGTCCGCGTAGACGGATTTACGCAGTCCCCTCGGCCACTGTCCCTAACCACCACATAACTAACCCGTTAAACGGTGGACTTGTGCAAGAGAAAGGGCAGAGTGAGGTTGACACTAGGGAATTCCTCCCCACGAGTTTTCAGCTCACTTCTCACTAGAATAAATCGGACGAGCTTTGAAATTAAGACGACGCGCTAATGGCCACGGTTTACAGTGTTGTCAGTTAACCGGACAACTCGGTCAGCGCAGTCAGTACTGCGTGCGCATGCGGAGTGACTGGTTCGAAGACTGAGAATCACTCCCAATGGGTGCTCCCTTATGTCGCCTCCATGCCACCCTAACGGACGTGTAACCCGAGTCCCTTTTCTGTGTAAACACGGCACGCTGTGTGGGAACCGCGTAGACCGACTGTTTTACTCTGTCGGCCACTGCACCCGAGTCCACCTCCTGTGGTCTTGGTACTGTCTGGTCCCTGGGTTTTATTCCTCCTTGCGGTGATAGGCTGTACCAAATCGTGTCCCTAAGGGTGCGATTCAAGCTGCTATATGATCTTCGGATTATCTGCGCCATAAAACCTAGTTTTTCTCATATACCCATGACAGTTTATTTGAGAACGAACTTCATCTTTTTGAACATGGGAGTGATGGTGCATAGTTCCTGCTTTAAAACGGCGCAGGGGGAACTAAGAACTAAAATTAAATACTTTCTCTACAAAGATCCGTCATGGGTTTCTTAGTAATAAATTTCCATGGAGCGAATTTTCAAAACCTAAAAGAACCAGTGACGAAAATGAGGTCCACGTTTCGACTGGCAAAGCAAGTTCTGGGTAATTCTAAGCGTCGGCGAGTGTTTTTATTTAATTATCGATATTTATGGTAAAATCAGTTCGATTTAGTGGTAGCTTGGCGGCAAGAGACGTAATTCCCTCCCGGGAATATAGTCATTCACATAATTCTAACGTTTTTCTGTCATTTTGGGTTTGCCGCACTTTCTTCGTGACATTTACCATATTTGCCTGACATTTGCCTTACTAAAAAGTGTGTTTAGGGATTTTGATCAACGTTTCTTGACTTCTGGCCCATACAACAGCATCGAACTAGAAAGGTACAGATGGATAATGGCCGAAAACCATACTCTTAAATTTGGCGAAGTATGCAACAGGCTCTGTAGACAGGGAGGAATCTGCACACACGAAAAGTCACGACTGCTGATTTGTGAATTTTAATCTGTTCGAAAAATCCGTCCCTCCTGCTTCAACTTTAATGAACTGGCTGAGATGGTAGTCATCTAAGATTGCGAACTGCAGTCTTGCTGAGGAGCAGGCGCCGGACGAACTGGATGCATAAAACGCTCTGCGGAACCGCTGACCATGTCTTGACGCCAGTTCAAGAAAGAACTGGTTCATGAACCAATCCAATTGCAATCAGACCTGTACCCACTGTTGCCGAAGACGTTGTTGCAGTCGTTATTGTTTTTGTTGGTGTTTTCGGTTGATGGTGATGGCGATGACGTCAACGACGAAGAAAGTCAATCCAGATATGACCTTTTCATTCGTCTTCTTACGCGTTACGCAACCGTGTCAACTAGCTGCTTTTATCATAGTTTTGTTGACTGGCTCCACCGTTCTCATCGCAAGAAACAGTGGTCAGTCTAAATTATTAATCAGTAAGTCTTGTGCTATAATGTTCATTTCGAACAGTTTATGACCATTGTCCCATAGGGTTTTCGTTCACACATTTATGGTGCTTGAGGACGGAAAGTGACGGAATCTGTTTTGCTTCAATCCAATGTCCCTGCAGATGTTTGCAGAATCGTGAGCATTCAGTAGTCCATAGGTATTACCGGAAGGGATATGGGGAGGGGGTTGATTTACCCACTTCCTGATTATTTTCTGTCGCTAGCAGGAGAAAAAGACTGGGCAAAGACCTTGGCCAAAGCCAAAAATGTAATCCTACTCTCTCATCGTATACGTGGCTACGGGTTCTCTATAAGGATATTGTCATCCGAATAACTCAGGCTAACCAAGTGGTCGTTAAGTTGTTGTCATCGGGGGCTTAGGCAAGAGTTTCGAACATTAATCCTGGCTTGACTCCTTAAAATAGGGTACTCTATGATTTTCCTCCCAGTCTTTATTTCAGTTACGCTGGCTAAAATTAGGGTATACATGAGTAGGGAAAGTGAAATTCAGCAACTGGCGATGGAAATGCACCATCAAAACTTAGATTTACTGTTTTACGCCTCCATCGTTATAGATAGTCATTGTAATTCAGACGCTAAAACCCCTGGTAAAATGCTAATTTAATCAGACCCCTGGCATCGTGAAGCCACTGTCATGACTATAAGGTAATTAAAGCGTCACTCTGAACTGAATATGATATTAACTCGACTATAAGCTGGATATTAGTATGATTACAAGTTTAATAGGCTGTCACGCCGAACAGAAAACCGTGTTACTTGGATTTATTATCAAGAACCAAGTATAGGGCAGCTTCGTGTGTACAAATACCAAGAGGGGCATTTATGAACCAGTCTTACTCTCATTCCTTGCAGTACAGCTCTCAAGTTAACTACTTAAAACAAACATTCTACTCAAGTCATCTTCACTAACCGCAGACCTGAATACGAATCGTAAGCATTTTCGGCCCACCCTACACCATTTGCTCTCTGTTATCACCGCGATCTGTTTTCATAAGGCCACCGCCATCTCTGGCAAGAAGTCGGCTATTAGAGGATGCTATATTCATAGAAAGGTGTTTTCTGGTGGTCTCTTAAAGCCAGAGATCATTGCCACTCCATAGTCCTCTTCTGCCTTTCTTGACGGTCCAGCACATGCTCAACCGTAGGTACACGGGGATGCCTACATAAGGACACTTCGGACCCAACTTAAGTGAATGAGTACTTCAAGCGGGGTGCACGCACGCACTTCATAAGTCGCGGCCGGGCAAAAAAATTTGGGCGTCAGCTTCTATCGCGATTGGCTGGGCCTCTCCCCATCCGGCCCCTCCCCTACCCCCACCCCCATCCCACGCGCACATGGTTCCTACTCCATCCCCTTCTCTCCTCACCTGCCCACCTCATACCTCGCCCACCGGTGTATGGAACCTGACAAAGTTACGGACTCCCCCTCTTCCCCCCCCCGTCTAGAATACAGCCACCAGATATACTCAGACGCACACGCACAAAATTTGACCTTAATATATCTATATGTCAAGCAGAAGTAGCAGTAACAGAAGTAGTCGGTGCATGCGTATGTGCGGGTGAGAACACTGTCAGGCACCAATCGAAAGCGTCTCAGCAGACACTTCCACCATCACCACTGCCGCCACCGCCACCACCACCGTCGGGACAAGTGATAAACAAACATTTTCTTGACCTGCGAGGTCAGCGGTAGCAGCTGCTGCATCAGCAACAGCGAGTAATTCTAACTGCACAGAAACTGAAAGTTAAAAAAGGTAGACAGTACACAATGGAGTTCCTAGAGCACATATTCTCGTCTCATCCCAACCCCGTAGGGGACACCAAAGCGGCCCCCATGTGGGCCTGTGAGTCCCCACTAGGGCAGTCAAAGAAACTCCGAAATGGTTACGGAGGTCTGCGACGGGTGCCTCCTCTGGCAGAGCTGTTGGACTCCTACCATCATCAGTACGACTCCCACGGTGTGACCGACCATTACACAGATTCACTGGCCAATTTTTGTACCCACATTACCGAGACGGATCACGCCTTCCGGCAGGTGAAACTCACGGCAGCGGGCATGGGTCGCGATCAGGACGGTTTCTCGACCGCAGACTCCGGTTTTCTGGGAGACTATGAGAGTCCGGAGGCCGACCAAAAGAATACGGGCGCTATACCCCCCTTTGAGTTGGTAGAAAACCCTCTGGATGGATCGCAGATTGGTCAGGAGGAGGAGAGAGTCGAAAAGCTGGCTGCACCCCAAGTGGGAACTAGTTGTATGGATGAACTCCTCAATGAAGATCCGATGCCATGCTGGGTGAGTTCTGAAAGTTCACTTTTTTGGTTTAACTATGACCGTTTGGTAAAACTTCGCTGGTAAGACTTGTGAAAAAGTAGATGATGTTGGGTCTTATGGGGAAAGCTAAGAGACGCAGTCCTCAGATGTGTGTACGGGTGTTTTACAGTAAGTGACCAATCTCATGAAATGTTGGCTGAAATGCGTTTCCGATTAGGAAGGATTATTTGGTCGCCGTTGTAATACTGATTATCTAGGGACATAATCTTATAATATTTCGGACTCGGCAGGATGTCGGCTTTTAAATGCACTTCATTTCAATCTTCTACAGAAAACCTACTCGGTAAATAATGACTACTTAAGTAGCCTGCATTTTTCCCCACTGATTTTCGATGGACTTGCAAATTCAAATATGTCTTATAGAGAAAATAAACAAAAATATGCTTTCTATTGTCCATTAATAGAGAATCACGTCTTCTTTATATTTTATATTCAAGGAAGGAGTATAATTAAGTTTTAAAAAGTTTTCTAGTTGCCGAATAATTTGGAGCCTGAGCACTCGTTGCATTAGCGCTTAGTGATTTCAGTATACAAGGTGCATGCGTTCCGCGTAAAGAAACTAACATATTTTTCTATGCCGTTAAAGAAATATCATACAAAGTCCACAAAATTTTGCAGTGGATGCGGACCATCTTGTACATTTCATGAGGAACAGTGGTAAACGGCCAGGTACGATGCTATGTGACTGGACATTGCGCGGTCTTAAAAAGTTTCATAAGTAGAAAACTTTTTTAAAAACTAATTATACTCCTTCCTTGAGTATAAAATATAAAGAAGACGTGATTGTCTATTAATTGACTTTAGAGAGTGTATTGTTGTTTATGGTTTTTATAAGATATATTTTAATTTGCAAAGCCCTCGAAAATCAGTGGGAAAAATGCATGCTACTTTAGTAATCATTTTTTACCAAGTACAGTTTCTACAGGAGATTGAAAGGAAGTGCATTTAAAAGGCGACCTTGCACTCAGGAGTCCTTTTTCTGGCCTGACGAGACGCCGGTGATTTGGACTGAAAATGATCAGAAATTAGAATTCGATCAACTTATCTGCACGCGGCCATACTTCTGATGGTTCAAGCACCAAATACTTTCCCTAGAATTGTACTACTATGGTCCGTTGGCTCTTCAAACCTGTCGTGGGAGCGCACAGGCGTCTAAGTGGACCGATGCGCTCGGTACGTACACTGAAGATGTCAGCGCTCGTCCTCCACAATTTTAGCAAACTTCCTTCTTAACAGATACGTCCATGCTAAAACTAATTCACGCTAGGGGTTTTGGGTGTATCTAGTTTCCTGAGTCTTGAAGGTTTCAGAAGCGGCTGCCTTCATACACGCTCACAGCATCCCGTTTCACGAAAACGTTTTAACATAAAAGTAGGCCGCATAAAATGATCGCGATATCTGTTTATACAAAGTTTTCAGTCGTTGGAACCTTGTGCATTTGAAGAGCATGGCAGGTCTTGGACACCGAGGTCCGTTAACTCCGAGAAAATAGTTGAAAATTCCGCCTGAGTCTATAAGTCTTCAATAAACTGATTTGACCCAAGTAAGTGACTAGTTTGTAGAGAAATTAAAAAGGCCGGAATTTAAAAACTGGAGTATCACCCAGAAAATCCTACGGGGGACGCTAGGGGACCGTGCATGAGCTGAACCGCTCGCGCCTGTCATTCAGCGGTGGCATAATATCAGCAAAACACGCGTGTCTTAGCTTTTAGTTGGTACGCATGCTGTCAAGTGTGGCATGTTGTCCTACCTATGCAAAATTCTTTCAGTTGCATAATTGTGCACTTACTCTGAAATAATTGCCTAAAAACAACTAATGTCTATGGCTGATCGCTTTTAGCAGACAGCCAGCCAACAGTCCTGCTTTCTTTCCGGGAGAATTTCCAGACCTTTGAGTATAATCTGAACTTCAGACAGCAGTAGCTTCTGCCGTTGAGATAACGGAATCGCTCCTTCGACTTCCTTTGTCAGGACGGATACTAGCGCCATCTAGATTCTGCTTATTCCTTATGAAGGAGAGACACTCAAAGTATGCTCATGGCCAAGAGACGTCATAAGAGCTCGTTGTGCCAGCATAACGTGAGCTCTGTGTCGGCATGTGGCTTAGCTTGCAAAGCAGCTGCCTTTTTATCCATTCCTTTCTAGAGCACGGCAGTTCTCCCACTGGACTAAGCAGTTCTTTTTATCCGGAAGATGCAAGCGTTATTGATATGGTCGAATTTGGCACCGTTGCGTCAAACTTTGATTTGCGGCATCTACCTCATCGAATTTGAGCACGATGATACTTCATACTCCTGGCGAATAAGAAAATCCTAGTGTGGTCGGAGTTTAAATTATGGGCCGTACAGGGGTGATTTCCTAACAAATGTATAAAGAAGTCTAAAAGACTACCGGTAGCGGTCTGCCTTTCCTGTATTCCGAGATAATTCCCAAACAGTGTCGGTGCTGGCTGACGTCAGCAGAAGCTAGGAATTACCCATCCCAGCTTCTGGAGCACTATCAGGCACAGTAAACATGGACGCTTTTTCTCGAATCTGTTACGCCCCTGCATATCTCGACAAAGCCTTCCAAGGCAAGTCGGGATGAAGCTCATCTTAAAAATCCATTTAACAATGCAACAAGTGTAAACTCACAACAACGGGACGAGTGAGTTCCGTAAAACGGTCGGTGAGCTTCCCTCTACCATTGTATATTCCCTATCGCTACCGTAGCTGGGTGGTTAGAGGCGTTAAACTCCTTACCAACGGGTCGCGGGATCGAGCGCCCGGTTTTCCACACTTTGGGGTTGGTTGTGACTGGCCGGTGACGGCTAAAGAGCCAGAAATAGCCATTTCAATGTCTCTTGTTTTTGTCGGTAGTGCTACTCACAACTACTGTCTACATCCCATCCGGATCTTGTTCCCTATTCTCGAGTCAGTTATAACCAGACGGTGGTAGTGAAAGGTGAAGGTGGTTAGAATTCATGCCTACAAAAATTACCCGGTGCCGAAATATCATATGAGACTAACCCGGACGTCATGGTGGCAACCAGCGAGGGCGTTAAGCGTTGGATCCGACTTGTCTGAAACCGGAATAATTCGCTGTCGATGAATTCTCATTTGGATTTTTTAGATGCAAGTAGGTAGTCCCACGTGAGGTACATAAACCCCAACCACCTTGAATGCGGGACCGGTAGTAATAGGGGTTTTACAGGTGGGACTGGGGAACGCACAGGAGACGAGGCCAAGTAGTTGTGTGCAGAAGAAACGCTATTGGGAATGCGCGGTTGTATTTTGAGTAGTTTAAAAATAGTTGCCCTAACCCCTAACCATAACCCCTGACTTTGATCCCTAACTCTAACCCCTAACTCAAAACCCAACAGTATCGTGTCCATCAGGTGGGGTTACATAGCCATATCTTACCAAATGTTTAATCCAAAAATCCCATAGTGTGAACTCGACAGCAACTGATACGTCATTGAGAACTCGGTGGAAACATTGGCGAGAGAATTTTTGATCTTGTCTCAGCTATAGATGTCGTAACATCACGAATAACTAATTCGCATAGGTGTAATATGAATTACAATGCGGAGCGGAAAGCGAGCTAGGGGAATCGAAGAGAACAAGACATTGGCTAGCTACAGTTTCGAGTTCATAAATCGCTTTCTTAACTTCTACAATATCAAGGAAGTATCTCGATGTGCCAGTTATTTGAGAACTACTTTTAATTATGAATAAGAAAATACATACAAGAGGGTGCGAGAAGACTCAGCAACTGGAATCCCCTATTCTGGAGGCCTTCTGTTTATTGCCAGGAAGACTAGAGTTGATGCTAAGGCTTGGTTAGAGTTAATGTTGGGACTGGGGTTAAGGAAGGGGTTGTGCTTGTGTTAGGATTGGGACATGGGAATATATACCACCCCCCCCAAACTTTGCTCAAGACTACCAGTATTATTTGGGAAGGGGTGTTCTTATTCCTAAGTCCAAAGGAAAAATTAAACTTTATCCGTAAAATTTGATATACATGTCTTTGCAAACACATAACAGTAGGTTGCTTAATAAAACAGTCTCCAACTTCGATTACGGCTTCCATGCGGATTCTGTAACGAGCGCATAGGCCGCTCAGATAATTCTTACTTATAATGGCCGTGACGTTCCGGTGGCAGTAGTCAACGAATCCTTCGCATTGTGATCAGGCTTACTAGTCAGTCTTCTCAGAAGCTCTGCGGACGCGGGTGTCCAGGAAAAAAAATACCAAAAGTAACATGGTCGCGAAGTTGTTTGGTCAACCACTCCTGGGTAGAGCGAGCTGTGCGGAGGGGAAGGGGGCATGTTACCTTTGATATTTGGTGCCGTAGCCGGCCTGATTTACGTCCCCTGGACTGCTGAGTCTTTTGAGAGAGAAAGAGAGAGAGAGAGAGAGAGAGAGAGAGAGAGAGGGAGAAACCAACTAGCGGTATTCGCACTAGTAAGGACTCCTTGAGGGCTCACATCGGGGACGTTCTGGTCAGCAACAACCGGGGTCAACATGGGACTCTGGAAGGCGTTATCTCGAATGCGCATCCATAGCAAATGCCAACATCCCGGGGTGCAGTGGCAGGTCCCGCTGCAGGCTCGCGTCGAGCCAATCGGGATCCGTGCCGCCTTCTGTTTTGTTGTTCAAGCATCTCCTGTGGACCAGGGGTGTGGCGGCAAGCCCAGATGAGGGCTTTTGCCGTGCCAATCATCTGCGTTCTCTCGCCCTCGGTGTCCCTGAATATGCCTTGATACCGGTCTAGGTGGGGGAGAAGGGAGCATTGCGGCAGATGCTGAGAAAGTCTACTATCACTATAGACTAATTCACCCGCAACTCACCGTCTCTGTTTTCACTCTTCTGTGGAGCACACGGTGGACGCCCTCAGCAACGACAGTCCCACTGTCAGTCAGCATAAATAAGAATCGCCCGGCTAACGCGTGGGTTCGTTTAAGAAGACGCATTGAGGTTCTACTGGAGCATGAGGGTGGTTTTAGGAAATAATCTTTGGTGATAAATACCGAGGACCATGTGCACTTCATGCTACGAATAGAAATGCATTTTTCCACAATATAGTCTTGTTTACTAAATTCTAAATTCTGTTATTAAAAGGCACCCCTGCTCACTCGTCGTAACATGGGCTTTGAGAGACATTCTCATTAAAATAACCGGCGTCAATCTCATTCACTGGGGAGATCGCCGTATATGCGACACATTTGGTTCACCGATTTGCAGTGCATGTGTGAATAAGATTGAAAGACAGTCTATTCTAGCCTTTATAGAGCAGTTACGACCGACAGTTATTAATTTTTGGACGATTTGAAAGATCGACCAATAGATCAGATTTGTGCCAACTTGCATAGATCTCTAATGTCTTCTTAACGACGTTTTTAGTTTTTTTCAGTCAACTATGTCAGAAGGCATGCGCAACACTAACTTACGCAGTTCCACCGACAAATACAAAAGTGGATCATTTTCTAAAAAAAACAAGACATACAGAGATTGGCTAGTAATAAAGTGTTTTGTACGTTGAACTTCCGTCAAAGAGTCACATGAAGTCGTTATCCGTTAAATCCTTCCTAGGGAAATGTCAAATTTTGTTTTTCTTAAGGCAAAATGCACAAAAGACGTAAACAACCTAATACTAATAATAAATGCTTGTAAACCGGAGTTCCGAAGTGCCTTACTCGTCTTGAAAATATTTTCTATGCCTAGTATTATTTAATCGGGACTTGGACAATTTTCCGGACTGAAAGCATGCTAAAGGAATTCGTTAATGTCTCTTCAGGTTCGGCCCAGGGTATTAGTACACTGCACGAAATTCATCGTTATCAAGCGAACAGTGATTTCACGTTGAAGTGCCCAGAAAGAGTGAAAAACTAATGGAATAGGAATGGCCTTTAACACGGGTGGCTTTAAGACAACTTCTCATGAAATTAAGGTTAGGTTTATGTTTACGGTTTGATCATGGATTAGTTTCAAAGCTAGATTTAAAGTTAACGGAAAGGTAAGCCAGAATCAAGTTAAGGGTTAGCGTGGAGGCTAGTGCTAACTGCAGAGTTAAGGTTTAGGGCAGGGTAAGGATGAAGACTAGGACATCGGTTTAGTTTTATATTAGGGTTATCGTTGGGGTCAGGTCCCGGGAATATTTTGTCCTTTCCGGAATTATGTGTAGGTCCACCATTATCACGTGAGCGGGGCGTTCCTAATCCCATGTCCTGTTTGAAGGGCCTTATAAGTCAGTCTCATCAAACTAAGTAATATATTTCAGTCACATCAAAATGTGAGTGGCGAGTGAGACCAGCGTTTAGCGCCAGACCCGAATATTTTCAACGATATTATCAAATATACATAGGTATACGCCGTCGGAGCGCCAAATAAATCCTGAATTTTGCTGTTAAACCACCATATTAATCTGATCGGAATACCACCAGAAGTTCCGCCCCATGAACTTGCCACGTATTCCAAGTGCGCATCGCGGGAGCAGAGTTGGCATTTAAGAAGGAGAAATGGCTGGCCAGAACGATCAGTTCGTTGTTGGACTCTCGGATAACTCCGCCGACTGCCAAAAAGGTCAGGCGTATGAACTCGAACCGATCTTCTCACTGTTTGGCAAGCTAATCGGCTTCGATTAGCTTAATTTCCTTCTTTCTCTATTCGGTTTTTCTAAGGCTGTTTTGTGGGTATGCTAACTCCCTACTTCTGAGCCTCCCCGCCCAGTCCAGTGTCTCCTTCGGTCTTTGTGGGGTGACTTCGTAGTTGGGTAGTATCTGATTAGTTTTCCCAAGCTCACTGAGACCATGCTTGACGCAGTACTTTATGAGCTAGAGGAAGGTAAATATGTATGTTGATGGAATCATAATCGAAAAATCACGCCTCAAATGTGCACCGTTCTATCCTTGACTTGGCTTGGAACATTTATTCAAATAACTAATAAGCTCGAAACTAGCATCTGTATTTGCAAGAAAGTTACCCGTTGGTCACTAAACCTGTGCCCATCAGTGTTAAGTCCAACTCGAAGATTAATTTTTAGCTCACTTACTGGAGACATTTTTACCCAAAGTATCCAGTGAAATCAGGCTGTAAAAGTAGACCTTGGGTGAATTCGGATGAACAGTAGGCGTCCATCGTGAGAAGTCGAGCAATACAAGAGCTGGTGGGCAGCCCTTTAACCATGCGCA